ATCAAATAGCTCTGTAAGTTTTCGACATTGGATGCTGACCATAGTTTTAGTGGACTCATCTAGCGGAAGGCGCTCGGTCAAGCATCCGCACCAGATCACGCGTGGGAACGCCGTGCTCAACATCTGCCGCAATCGCTAGCCAGATTAGTGCCAACGATCCTCGATATATTGATAGCTTATCAAATATATCTTCGATCTCCTCGCTTCTGTCTTTTGATTTTACTTGGTGGGTGCGCTTCGTATTAGAAGGTGTTACTGGTTAAAGCGTTGTCAAACTCCGAATACCTGTAGCATCTTCAACCTTATTATCTTTAATTATGATTTGGGTATTAATATGTCTTATCTTTTTGCTCCCTTCAGCACTAATAATCTCCGTGATCATAGCAAGAAGGTTCACAAACCGCGGTCTAAAAAACTTGAATTGAGGTCCCGTTTTCTTCATCGAGGAGTGAAGAACTGGAACGCAATACCCGAACAAGTGGTTTCAGCACAATCAGTGAATATTTTCAAAGAAAGACCGGACCTTCGCTGGAAGCAGTCTGTCAGGATTAACACAAGTTCACCGACCTAAAATCCTCATCACTGAAGAACGAAGACTCTTATCACAGCTTAAATTTCCAATATAACGAGAGACACTTTGAATATAATGTGGCTTTTAAGAGCTTAACCTTGGTAATACACAAACAGCAAATCACATCAAAGTTGATGTACTTCATATATGTTAAATTCCACTCTCTATATACTGAACTTTGCACCAGGAAGCGTCGTATTGAAGACTAAATTGAGGGTTACTTAAACCTCTCTGACAACCGATTTCTTGACTTAGACTGAAACTTCGAATTTCAACTTAAGAATTAAAATAGCAGCGTTGATTTTCTGACCCAGTAAGCCGATAAAATAGGCGAGGCTTACCATAAATTTTGCTTCCTGTCTTCTAGTGTATCACGCATTCTATAAACCGATTTGAAATACTACTTATCAAGGAACAAGCATAATGGCGAACTAAAACAAACTAGCTCATTTCAAAAGAATAATATATTGAATCTGTAGCATAATGATAGTATATATCATTAGTATTTCTATGTAGATATACGATAACGATAAAAGTATTATTGAGGTCAGGCATAAATATCAGATTACAGTTTGAACCTGACTACAAAAATATACTCAGAGGTTGTTAAACAGGATATCATGTTGCCCCTAGTAGTTGTTTGTTGTGAAGGCGAAGTGGCTTTCTACTAGATGTTTTTTAGGTTTTGACGCTACGGCATCACTGATTTTCAGGTAAATTCCTTGTCTCCTGTCGGTGAAGAAAACCGATAGTGGAAATTGTAGTGCAACGAAAATCACCCTAACCACTTCTTATCAACCGACCAAGCATCTGTTTGACAATTTTTGTGCTTATCTAGTAGAACTAAACGTGACTGAATCTAACACAAATGAACGAAGCTATTGGAATTTGCGAGATCACAGACCAATAGTCAATAAGGATACATTTCGTAGAGTTCACTGAAAACACTATTTTTACAGTTAAAACTATTTCAATAAACCTTTCAAAACACTGTATGCTAGACCTGAACGTCTGGCTGTTAACCGGAAATGTTTGGAATATATGTTCATTATAGCGTAGTTACTCGTAGGTCAAGAACGAACTCATAATATTGTAACACAGCAAGGTATTCTGCTAACCTACAAAGAACCCTGAATAATAAGATTACTTTCTTCTTTCTGTTTTAGACGTTTCATATAATTATAGAGAAAGGCATCAATTTTACTTAATTTAGCTGTCGATCTACGATTTACTTATCCCTAGGCAGCTAGGATTTCCAGGTCAACTTTTAATGTCCTGATCGTAAAAGCTCGCCTAAAAGATACAGATGCTTCCACTGATTACATCGTTTGAAATTCAACATCATATTGGAGTCGCTAGTAGTTGTTTAGGATTAGCCATATGATAACACCTGGTATAATGACTAGGTTTTAGTAGCGGTGGTTCGTTTTCTCAGGTTAATGCTTATCTAAACCTTAATTTTCTCATGTTTCAAATCACAATAGACTAACTGAACACATACAACTGACCTATTTGGCTTGTTGGTGAGGACAAAGAAGTACGGTTATTTCATAAATGCGATCATGGACCGGCAGTAACGTTAGAGGAGCTACAGGAGGAGTTACACTGTGGCAGACATACAAACACTTCACGGAGAGTTATGGAGAGACAGTTTCGCTTATATGATATGACGTTTTTAGAACTTCAGTAACACTTAGATTTTTGACATGACTGTATACAGGCTATTTATGTTGTAGCGTGGTGTCGAGTTGAGCTTGACTATGAACACCGCTACAAGACTACGTGCCAATAGACCAATAACATTCCGGTAGGCCAAAAATCAGAAAGCAGGTGATAGTAGTAGTTGCAATATATTTGTTGGTAATCTCGTGGTATCGAAAGAATACCGAGATCGTGCCAAAGGAGTACAAATGCGATCGGCAAGTAAACATACGTGCGTAGTCGAAAACTGCGTAAAAATAATGGAGTACAATGGAAGACCAAAATGGCTGTTATTAGCACAGTTAAACAAACGAGCACAATAAAACAATCACTGGTACAATTGGTTATAGTAATAATTGGTTTGTTATCGAACTAATCGCGTTCTGTTGACAAAAGTAGGTCACTACAATGTCTTTAACCTAATAAAATGTTATATGCACCCTCCAGAACCTACCTGACGAGTTTGATTATGTATGCTGTGGAAGCAGATAATTTAACTTGTTTTTTGGAACAAATAAAGTTGAGCGAAAGTGAACAAATTATCTTACATGGCATATATGAGGTTGAAGTTTAAAGACGATTGGATTTCGTAACAAGATAAACTGAATATAAAATAATATAACAAAATAAAACTAATCCCAATAAATATTGATTTCACTAGGTGGACGAGACTCATATTGGTTGTTACTGGTTAAAGCGTTGTCGAATTCCAAATACATCTGGCTTCTTCAATTTACTTCATCCAAGTGATCTGGTATTGAAGTTTTTTAATGAAAACATCTTACACAGTACATACGCTATATTATAAATCGACAGGCAGACAAGCGTATAACTATTAGTGCACATCTTACTTGTTTCCTAATGGAGTGAGAAGAAGGTTTACACAGTTATACTATCTGATTACAACTTATTACCACGCTACATCTGTAGCATCATTAAAATAAAAGCATTCATGAAAACTAAATAGCAAATAATCTAGAATCACTATCAACTACCAAGCTGTCAATTTATTTCGGTCACTGGATCGAATTATGTGTATCAGAACTAAAAAGCACTAAATAGCGTCATGTGTGACGAAGGCGATCCCTGTTGTCTCGTTGAAAACAATTCAACGAAGAAACGTTTCTTCTTGATGATGAATGTTCCAGAGAAAAGTCACTTAATGAAAATTGAGTTTAAGTGAGACTGTGCTAAAAACATTTTGAAGAATCATTTATGAAATTCATTGACGAAAGCGTTCACATCGTCCTTCCCAGACCAACATCATTCGTGAATGCGCCAAGAACAAAGTGTCACATGGAGGCACATCAGTGTGTAGTTATAAGTTCATTTTCACTAGTGGGGCAGGTTATATAGATCGCACACAGCGGTCGTTTTCTCAATACATCTCTGAACATTATCCCGAGCGGCTTTCAATAACTCGATTTAAATCAATTAAGATTTTAATATTAGAGCATCTTGTGAACTGCGGTCACATGGCTTCTCTTGATGAGTCATCTAGATGTATCTATAATATCAGACTATTATGTTTGAAAGGAGAGTAAATTAATAACTTCTGCACTACGTAGACACTACTGATCCATATTTTTAATCCTCAACTGTATATACAAATCGAACACGTACATTTCTTTATTCTTTCATGGTAATAACACTTAATGCTCATCAACGATAATCTGTTTTTATCAATACTTCACCCATCTTATACTTGTCAAGTGAATACTTATCCATCTCACATTTCATTTCAACCTATTACCTCATTTGCATTCTCGATTATTAATCAACTTTCTTTGATACGTGATATGACGTAATCATCATCATATCTGCCAGTAGACTGTTTTATTTAAAGCGAACTGTAAATACAATCTTGAAGCTTCAGTAAATGATATCGTCAATAGAAAATATTCATTACTGTCTTGTCATTATTCTGCTTTAAATATCGTTACACTACATTTTTAAAATATTTACAATTACTTAAAACAAAAAAGTTGATAAACATATGATAAAAGAATTTTAAATATCATTTCAATAATTTTCTTGATTTTAGTAGTCGAATTCAGAAGTTGATCCAAAATAGACTGATAACATGGAATCATTAAATGACCGTTTCGTCCTAGTATGGTACTCCGGAACATTGAATGACAGCTTAGTGGTCTAAAGGTTAAATGTTTGCGCGTGAGACCGAGTTTCTTTTATACGGGATTGTGAATATGCATCGCTGAGGAGTCCTGTACTAAGACGATACAGTCAACCAGTGCTTCCAGGTTTTCAATGGTAGTTTAAAATAGGTCGACTCATGAATCCTCATTTCTGATCATCTTCTCTATACCAATGAAAACTTTCAATAGATAAGTGAATAAACTATCAAATATATATCATATGAAATTAGATTATAACAATCGGTACAAAATTGTTTTATTCACAAATTTCTCTACAGTGAATCATTGAAATTATAATGATTACACATTCCGTTGATTAGATTTAATATAGTACTGGTATTCATTTTTGATAATACCTTATTATCACAGTGAGAAATAGTTTCGTCTAATTTAGGCGCCAAAACTGAATTCCCAGATTTCAATATACAATGAATACATTTATCGTGTTGATTAATAAATGTATGAATATTTTTATTCATTGTATTAGAGTATAACATACAATAGTGTGATAATGTGTAATGTGATCTTTGAATTTGATTAGTTTTTGTATTACATTTAAAATAACATGAATATTAATCGTTGAACATTGACTTTGACATTGATTCATTTAAACAAATATCATTAGTATAGATTTGATTTGATAAAGATGTTTGATTCAAATTTAATGGTCTGTCATCATTATTATTATTATTTTGAAGAACAGATTCATAACGGAGTTTATTATGAACAAATTTTATTGTACAATTAGGATTGTTACTATCATATACTGAATTTGTTTTAGATTGAAGTGTAGATTGTTTTAATGCACAGCAGTTATATACATAACTATCATGATCATTATTATTATTGTTGTTATTAGCTGGAATCAAAGGTTTTGCATTTGAACATATAGAACAATTTGATTGAGACTGAATATTGAAATTGCTTAAGGGATGTACACAGGTATCTAAGTTACATAACAAAGCACACACACAAAGTGAATGTACATCATAAACTGACTTTAATCGAAGAATCTATCAACGACTAGCATTGTTTCATCAGGTTATATGGCTTTAATCTATCTGATTGTTAATAAAGAATAAGACAATCTAGCGAGACTATAACTTATGGACAAACCAATCAGGTATATGATAACAGGTCTTGGACTTTGGAGCGAAATTCACACCATTCATTTGGTCAAATAGAGTCTTGTCATTTTAGCTGATGTCAGTTCGTGATGAAAACACTAAATCTAATTCCTAACTTTACCCATCAACTGTATATCATAATTCTAATTTCCTACACTGGTTTGTAACCCTCATTTTGTAGTAATTATTAGGTGGACACTTTCACAGTCACTTTGTCGTCACTCAAATGTTTACCATCATTATTATTCTCATTGACAATCATAGTTAAATGCAAAATATTTCATATAGTCAGGTCTGTTTATGTATTCAATTTAAGAATGAACAATGATAAAACAGCAGTTGTTTTAACTGTATACTTAGTAAATTGAGGAGATCAGTATACTGATATCAATGTAACAGCTGGTAATCTTTCTCTGATCCATCTATTTAGAGTAGTTATCAACTCTATTTAATGCTTGATTCTTCTCAATATTGTGATTAATGTTTTGTTAAAATCATGGTGATGGAATACAGGACATTATCATGAACATCATCTAACGTCTTTCGTTTCAGTACTCAATCGTACTCTGAAGTAATTCTGTATGCTTCTAATTCATTATTTATAATTCCTAACAATTGGCTTTTTGAAGTTTCTACATTGATAATTCATACACTTGTAGAAGTTGGTCAGTCTAGGAGTGCTCATTTCAAAGTTATAAAGCGCATACTAACTGATTTTCTACATCGGAAGTCATGTGTTTTTTCGACGTACATACTTTCTTCAGTAAAGTATAACATCAAGGAATTTTTTGGTTTATGTTCAAAAGTAACCGTAGTCAGATAACTAATGAAATCAAGAAGTTTTAGATACCGGCTTCGCTGTGATAAGGAATTTTTCAACAACACGTATCCTTGAACCAATCACTGATCGAACTTGGGACTTCTGGGTTACCCATAGAAGGATTACTTTTTATACCCTTAAGTCCGGATCCAAAGTTTTATGTATCTCACGCCGATAACTTGGCTTCATTGCACAACTATTATGCAATAGCATTAGGGAGAAACTGTCACACAGTGAACATAGGGAGACTCTATTGATCTAATAATCCACAATGAGCAATGATACTTTTAGTTTCATTATCTAGTTATACATAAGTCAATACTTATTTTCACTGAAAAGTACAATATACCATTTGATCAAAATCACCAATCGCTAGACAAGAATCATGTGTGATCACTTACTTTTATATTCACAACAAACTTTTTCACATAAAGTTGATTGTTGCCCATTTAAAATAGGAATATTTGTTACGTAATCATCGAATTGATTTATAGGTGCTACGGAATCATTCTAAATAGCGTTCCAAAGAAAATAGAAAGCAGATTGTCAAATATTCATTGTTCACATTTACCTAAAACTGAATATATTGCAACCACTTAATTATGAAGACCAATACAGTATCTCTTATTCACGTCATATATAACATGAATAATAGTTATCTCATTTCAGAATTTTTCATGATTAGTATACTAACTAAATACTTCAGTATTACAACTAAGACTTGGTTTGTGGTGTGCGCTATTGATGTCGACAAATTCGGAGTATCATCAATCAAAACTGAAATGTCTGACGACAGAAGGTTATGAAAATTGAAGAGAAGAGAATAAGGACAAATCAAGTCTGAAACAATTGATTGACATTTTGAAAACGAAGTATTTACAGTGTGGTTTTCAGATTTTATCAAGAGATTCTGTAATGTTGTATTCTTAACCATTCGCTTATCCTCGCCTATGTTCCCGTTCATTACAGATTGATATTTCAAGTATCTTGTATCAAATGTCAACAAAACCTTCCTTTCCTTTGGTGATGCATTTAAATCTTACAGTCAGTTCCTCATATATGTGTAAAATGTTCGACTTAAATTGCTTGATTCATCAATCGAAATGTGGGATTCCTAATCAATCATTCTAGTTGATATTATACTATACCATTAGTTTTATTATTAATTTTATGACCACTTAAATAATGTAAGTAGATTAAAATATTTCTTTAAAATACCTACCAAATAAGGTTGAGTAAGTGATTGATTTATTTCTTTATTATTGATTCCATTAAAATGATCATCATCAATAAGTGAATTTTGTATAACTTCTGACAAATCCATTGCTGTAAAGTATCCAACTGTTTTATGATTGTATCTTTTAGGAAGAGAAACAACGAAACGACATACATGACATTCCTTTTCTAACGTACATTTTATAGATTGACATTTGTCAGGCAAGTACTATAGATTAAGTTGTAGTGAACAGCTGTTTTATATTAATACAAAACTTCACAGTGGAGAGTACTTACAACCTAACATTTAGGAATTGAATCATGTATCATCACGTCTGTTAGTGAGTGCATTAACTTTAGACAAATTAGAATAACAGTAAAATTTAAGAGTCCTGTCTAGTCCAGTTTAGGGTTCTCTAGCTGAATATAATCGCATCCTAATGCTGTTATTGACATCTGGACTTGAATTGATTACCCTCTTCTCCAGACATTAGTATTGTATTCATAGAACATCTGAATCTAGATTGCCACTTACTTATTGACTAAGAACACTTACTCTGAAATACATGTACATGCGATTGATAAGTTCTGAATGGGACGAAATAGGATTGCTAGACTACACTACTATTTGCAGTTAGCTTTTCCAAATAATTTATCGCAATGTTCACATTGAAACAATTCCCACAGGATTTACGTATATCAACAAAGATTAATTAAAATTTGGTCTTAAATATTAACAACAGTATGATAAAGATCATTGCTTATAGTAGGAATAGACACTTTGGTTGTTGATTTAAACTTCAGTCGATTTTCGATAAAGTGAGATCTGATTTCATTATCATTGGTGACGTTGCTCCAATGATCTGTATATTTGAACTCTATGGTTTACTAATTCTTCCAAGGCTTTCAAAAATATTTTTATATTCTAGTTCTTTTTGAAAATAGTATTATTTTTACAATTAATAGTGTTCACTTTTAAAAACCGAAAAAATCGCATGATAATTTTATAAGCAAAGACAGATAATAGCTAGCGATGGAATCCAGGATGCGTGTTTCATCCTACTTGAGATACGTCAGCTGGATTTACCTGCGTCTCCGAGTTGATGTTCACTACGGAACTCGAACTCAATACCTTTCACTTGAAACTCTATTGCGCTGTAAAAATTATGTACTGAATCCTCATAGCCTCATGCTTGTGCAATAGAATGAAGTTTGAAACCGCTTGATATTCATTTTTGCTTATAAAGCTTGTGACTGAAGACAATATTGAGACAGTCTACACAGGATATATATATATATGTCAACAAGAGACTGATCTGTTGTAATCTAAAACAACAATGAGACGATTCAAATAAACAATACCAAACGAATTCACACTATAGTTGTTTAATCAAAATCCAGTTCATGATATAAACTACAAACTGTAATCGTTGTCCACTTAGCTACTTAATCCTGTTAGCCACCTGCTTGTTCAATGGAATGAAGTTTAAAATCGCTTGATATCCATCTTTACTTATAAAGCTTGTGATTTAAGGCAACATCTAGACAATCCTCACAGGATGCACATATGTCAACAAGAGACTGATCATTTACAGACCTAAACAACAAGCAAAACACAATAAGTGAATTCACACTGTGAATATTCACTGTAATCCCATTACCCCCCCCTCCCCCTTTCAAATGAAAATAAAGTTTCTTCACATTACCTTCTTTCATTTTTACTATGGGTTGTTCTATTCAATGTTAATTGACATTTTATACATAAATAATGATTGAACCATTCAATGTATTTACATTTTCTCTGAATATATAATAAACCAATAATGAATGTAAGAATAGTCAATAAGGCAATTACACAACTGACAATTATAATGATGAATTGATGTCTGGTAAATCTATCTTAAATTAAAAACAAAATGATAGTATTGAATATAGAAAGTATAAAACTTTGTTAATCTTAGTTAATAATGAGTTGATTTGTAACTAAGCTACTATGGAAGACCTGAAAGCACAGGACGGCCGTTTCGTCTTAATGGTCTATTGGTTAAATGCTCGTGCAAGAGACTGATAGACCCTGGGTTCGGATCTTCAGAAATGGGATCGTTGATGCACACTACTAAGGAGTCAACAAATTAGGACGAAATGGTCGTCCAGTGATTCCAGATTTTCTATGGTAGTCTCGCCCTAGCTTCAATTAACTCATGAATTCAGTAATTGCATTTGTTTAATTGTTACATTTTTGAGTTAAATTTTATTGCTTATATCATCATATTGATAAGACATTCATTGAAGAACAGAAAACAATGAATAGAGGTCTCACTCTTAAATGATCTCATCAGGGATCGAACCTAGGACCTTCAGTTTTTATCAAATAAATACATATCTAAATTTTATCATCTTACAAAGTAGAGTAATTATTTTCAGAGCCTACTATAAAGTCACTTCATCATATCAATGAATCAAAAGTCATTGAAGAGTTTAACAACAGAATTGATCTTTTACTACAGATGTGATGGCATTTACCTCAGACATATGAATGCTTAAGTCGGTCCAAGGGATCAGTCCTCGGTGTCGCTGCCTGTCGGTCTGTGGGTTATTGATAGATAAAAAATTCTATAGTTTGATTTCGTGTAATTAACTTGAACAATAGTCGCGGACGCACAGTGAAATAGCTCGCACCCAGATTAAAATAGTTCACAGTCGTTTACCGCTTGTCTCCTGCTGCATTATGAGTTTCAAGATTATCTTGGATCACTGATTCAGCGAAGTTATTCTTTTTTATCTATTAGTTTCGTCAATGGATAAAGTTTATTTACTAAAGCTGATATCACTTTAAATACTTTAGTAGTTGTCGTCATAATTTTATCCATCTGTACTGATGAGCTGCTTTAACGTGGATAGATATATATGTGTACTATGTCCTACATTACTGATGGCTGACTAACTAGAACCTAATAAATAAGAAAACAAAAAGTTCGATTGCCATGACGTCACCAAGAATTATGTCTAGTAGATCAGTACCAAAGTGAAGTGCTGACTTTTTTTAACTGAAATATGGTGCAACTCAAAAATATATGATATTCTCGCGAACAAGATTAAGTATTTTAACAGGATTACTTAAATCAATTTGAAACTTTTCCTACTGCTTCACTGAAACATAGTTCACGAAGTCTATGAAACGTTTCCAAAAGCAGTAAAAGTCATCAGAGCATATGATTTATACATATATTTGAAGAAGACTAGAGTTCTATCACGTAGCATATGCTTCTTTCTAGATTCCATGATGTATTCTACACTATAAATTTCGTTAAACAAGGTGAACTACTTTAATAATCAATAGTAGTTAAATGTTATAAACAAAAGAATTAGATGACTTACGATTTAAATCTAAATTTATATCATAAGAACTTGATCTCATTAAATTTGAAAATGTACACTGATAAACTCCTTCATCATTTAAATCCAAATTGTTTATCTGTAAAGTGATAATCCATCCTACTGAATATTTTCTGTGAATGATTTTATATTTCGTTATAAAATTATGAGTAAGAATAATTGGGAATTGGGAATTTTCAATTGTTGAGTTCATTGTCGTTATTTTATTCCTATTATTATTATTATTATTATTATTATTATTATTATTATTATTAATATTATTATTATTGTTACTATATGGATCTTCCATTGTAATATATTCACCATTATGTAACCATATTGGATAGGTGAAATTTAGTTCCGGGAAACTGATAACATTGCAGATAAGATTAATTGATTTGTCTAGAATTCCATATACATGTGAATTACTATGTACCAATCTACAAAATTGTGCGACCATCTTCCATTGTTTAAGGTAGATACCTATCTATATCTGACATGGATCAGCTTTATTGATCACAACTTCTCATTAAAACTCCCGGAATTCCTTCACGAAGCTAGTCACTAGTGAGAACATGAGTAAATCTCTGATGCGATTAACATGTCTATATTTCTGAACAGAGAAAGATTCACATCAGTGATAACATAAAGCGTAATTACACGGTGGGATAGCGCGAATGACATCTTATAGCTGTGTCCAAGAACAATAATAGTTTGCTAACAACCAAAATAAAAACTAAGAGTACATAAATATAAAGACTGTTATCTTTAACAAAACTAGAAATAACATTCTCTCGGAAAAATGTTTCAGGAAATGTGAATACTTTTCAGTAACCACTCGATTTGATACCACAAAAGTTTGACTTTAAACGTTGAAACCAACTTTCTGAGTTCTCAGGTATCTTAAACATGTTTAGAGAAATATTTCTTTCTACTGAATGAAATCTATAGATTTTAACTTAATGACACAGAGAAGTAAATTAGTCGATTTTATATCTCTGACTACTGATTAAGTAAGAGACAAAGAAGAAATCACTGTTGAATACAAACTGATTTTTGCTACTTTCCACAATTATCTCACTGACTGGTAATGATGATGATGATGATGTGTAGATGTGAAGATGTGTAGTGAAATCCATCAACTTCTGAAGAGATGTAATACATATTTTAGCGTGATTTCTAGCTGATCCATGCAAATCTGTGTGCTCATGTATCCTTATGAAAATCGCAATGAATGAACCACCAACATTTGATGTAGATGACAAACATTTTGTCGGTTATTTGCACAAAATAAAAATATTCTTTACAGTAACTGATAATGAAGTTATGGAGTTCTAGTGAGAAGTAGTAACCAGTGAAGTTTAACCGGGTCTATGGTGAGATAGTAACTCACTGAAGACAATAGTGGATGTGTCACTCAATTTTTTGGATTAGTTAAAGTTAGACATTAACACTGTTTAATGACAGTTCAGGGGGGTAATGCTTAAGTGCTCGCGCGCGAGAGTGATAGGTCGTTGGTTTGAATCTCGCAAGACGAGATCGTGGATGCAAACTGCTGAGAAGTCTCACAATGGGACGAAACGGTCGTCCAGTGCTTCCAGGCTTTGTATGGTGGTCTAGCTTCAATTGACTCTTGATTTCAACTATTGAAATTTCACATGTATTAGTTGTTTGAACTTTCCCATCAATGTTTAGAACTATGATTGATCAATTCCTGACGACATATGTGCATTCTATCGAAATTGCCAATATCCAGGCACAAACTAGTAAAATACAAGTCCTGGAGTGTATACCAATATCTGAAATAAGGCAGGTACATCCAGTTAACAAGTCACAATTACGAATAAACGCTCATCCTGGATTCCACTACTTTACTTATAATACTTGTCACTTAAGACACTATGAAGGCAGTCCGTACAACATGCACATATGCAAATATGAGCCTGATCAGTTTCAGTTCTAAACAACAAGGAGAAGATGCAAATAAACATACACATATACCTCATTTCTGCAGCAATTTGGAAAACTCTCCCAGTCTCCCACATTGTGTGAGCATTCCATGTACCTATAGTTTTACAGTAGGCAAATTATTATCTAGATGAAAAATAAGGCTTTGAAACTTGAAAAATGATCTGTACTAACTATTCTAAAATCTGTTTGTAGGAATGATGTAACGGTGGATGGTTGATTATTGACAACATTCATCAGTATATAGAACAATGAGGTCTGTATTTTTACAAATCGATGGTATGTTGAATGAGGTATAGTTGATTCAAATTGATATGTGTAAGATGAATTACATTGAACTTTAATTTGCTTAATTATTGAGCAAACTACCAAAACAGTCATTCTATTTCTAAAATATTCATAGAATTTTGATATTGTGGCTCAAAATTATTATCTCTTTTTCAATGATTTGAATTTGAAAGGTGACTGTGAGGATGGCCTCCGGGTGAACGCGAAGAAGTTCAGAAGGAGTCACAGACATAACACTTAATCGTCTTTTGGAAGAACACTACAGAATCTCAATGTATAGCTTCCGTTTTGAACAAATATCTAAAACCACTGGATTCCAATTGAATGACTAAAATGATGATTTTGCTTTTACTAAAATCTAAAAATACCTGAGAGTTTTGTATCATATTCGACATTGTTTGGAATAGGATTCTTTTTCACTCGTCTTCTGTTTTCAAATTTACAACTTGGAGGTTTCCAGCGTTCGAGTGCTCGAGTTTTACGCGATTTATCATGAATCTAAGCTCTAGATGCAACAGCGACAAATCAAGACATGTCAACTAATATTTTCTTTAATGCGTAGTAAAAATTGATATTGGATTATAGTTGAGCTGTTGATTGAACTTAGAATTTTACCACTAAACACCGAACCATTAATTATAGTGATTAAGAGCTGGTTACAAGAACCTATGGTTCAGGGTTCAATCCCTGGTATGTCCATAAGTATTCATTAATAAAGAGTTGTGTACTATGAAGAAATGACCTTTCAATGCTACTTCATCTGAGACTGATCCTTAGCAATACAACTCATAGATAGAACTAATCAACGCAAAATCATTTCAACATACTTACGCCTGTTACTCCCAATGGAGCATAGGCCACCGACCAGCATTGTCCAACCCACTCTGTCCTGAGCCTTCATTTCCAGTCTCCATTTCTTCCTCTTTTCCTTTGACATTGAGGATTTCAAGTAAGGGATTGCCTTGTGACGTAGTTGGGTGTTTTCCTCAATATGTGTCCTATTTACTTTCAGCGCTTATTCCTGATTTCTTCCTCCACTGGAATCTGGTATGTTCTCTCCCACAGTAGGTTGTTGCTAACAGTGTCTTGATAGGATCCGAAGTATTTTGCTTAGGCAGCTGTTGATAAACACTTGTATCTTCTAGATGATGGCTTTTGCAGTTCTCTAAGTTTTCGCCCCATAAAGTAGGACTGCTTGGACATTTGTATTGAAAATTCTGACTTCGGTGTTGGTCGACAGTTGTTTTAAGTTTCAGATGTTCTTCAATTGTGTATATTCCACTCTTGCTTTGAAGATTTACGCACTTACATCTGCATCGAATCCATCGTGTTCACCAACATACTTCCCGGATTTGTAAAGGTTTCTACATCTTCCGAAGCTTCTTCGTCAAGTGTGATAAGATTGGTGCATGTCGTGTTGCATCGGAGAATCTTGATTTTCCTTTTGTGTATGTTGAGACCTACTGCTGCTGAGACTGCTGATACACTGGCTGTCTTCTCCTGCATTTGTTGTTGCGTGTGCGATGGAAGAGTCAGATCATCGGTGAAGTCTAGATCGTCCAGCTGCATCCTAGCTGTCCACTGTATCCCATGCTTCTCCACAGATGCTGACGTCTTCATAATCCAGTCGATAACCAGGAGAAAGAGAAAGGCTGAGAGTAAGCAACCTTGCCTGACACCGGCCTTTACCTCGAACGAGTCTGTCAGCTGTCCTCAATTCACGATTTTGCAGTTTAATCCATCATAGGAATTCCGTATGATATTGATCATCTTCTCAGGTAGGCTATAGTGTTGAAGATGCTTCCATAGTGTTGTCCTGTCTACTCTAGCAAACTCTTTCTCGCAGTCAATGAAGTTAATGCAGAGTGATGAATACCATTCAATCATTTCAACTAAGCTAATATTAACAAGGAACCTTTAATTTTCTATATTTCACTTACCCACAATGTTATCTCTTGTGTTATATACAGATGATCTGTAGATTTTGTCCAACAGAGCATTTTCAATTTCATTGCAAATATTGAACAAGGGTACAATATATAAATCTCATTTTCTCGATTATCAATATTTGGTCCATCTATAACAGAAGATTAAAATGTATACAATTTAAACAATAAGTTCTTGGTTCGAATCTCACGAGGTGGAATCGTGGATGCGCACTACTGTGGAGTCCCATAATGGGACGAAATGACCGTCCAATGCTTTCAGGTTTTCAATGGTAATTTAACATCAATCGATTCATAATTTCAGTCAAAAACTTAATAATCTCCACAACCCCATACTGATCATGTCGAATAGTTTACTTCCCAGCTTGTTTAACTGTTTTATTTTAAGTAAATGAATGAATTATACACGAATTAAATAATCATAGGATAACTGATGTTTAATCTAATAGAAAGTTAAAACACTATTATTATGCTTTACACAAAGCCTGACATTCCAGGGTTTAAACTGTTGCGAGTTCATGGATAAAAAACTACTGATGAATCCTAGAACAGGACGAAGAAGCTGTTTAGTAATTATTAATACTCAAAAGTTATCTAGTTGACATCAATTCATCATGCACATCTTTTATTCTGAGTAAATCTAATCTCGAGAAATCTCTAAATTTGGCATCATATATAGAAAATATTGAATGCTGCTTGTAGCGGATTCAAGGACGCATGTTTCACTCAAACTAAGATTTATCAACTGGAAGTACATCCATTGCTGATTTGATGTTTACACATACCAATCAAAGCTGAAGAAATCATTACGGGATCATTCACTGAATCATTTTCTATATCATCATTAACATTATAAATTTGGTTACTCCAGCTTCTTAATGATACCTTAGATGATACCTCAGACATTATGAAATCAATTGTATTGATTGTATCGTTTTTCATTCGAATCGATATTTGACAATAGATTCTTCCTCGATGAAATTTTCGATGTGGTACAAATTCTATGATATGATCTTTTAATTGATGATGTAATCTAAGTAATTTTGAAGGAATTTCAAATGATAAAACAATGTGATGATAATCATTATTAATTTGATCAATAGTCGATAATGAACTTATATTGACTAATGTATCATTATGATTAATATGATCTGATAGTTGAATAAAAATTCTGTAATTACAAAATAACCGATGAAAAAGACACATAACAGATTGGAAGATTGAAATCAAGCGCTTAGTGTATGGATAAGAAAAACAATATCGTCTTGTTTGTTAAACTAATCTCAAATCGATAGCATATTGAAAAGTTGTGAGATAGTAACTCACTGATAACAATGGTGGATAGTGGCGCAACTTCATGAATTGATTGAAGTTAGATATTAACACCGTTGAATGCCAGCACGCCAGTTTAGTGGTCTTAAGGTTAAGCGCTCGCACGCGAGACTGATAGGTCCCGGGTTTAAATCTCGTGTGGCGAAATCGTGGATGTTCAATGCTGAGGAGGCTCACAATAGGACGGAACGGCCGTTTAGTGCTCTCAGGTTTTTCATAGTGGCCTAGCTTCAATTAACTCATGATCTCAACTATTAAAAAAATTACCATAATATCCACAAAATCTCTTCTGATATTAATTAACATATACTCACTAGTAACTGGCTTCAAAAGGTATTTCCTGGAGATGTAGTGGGAAGCAGTGATCAGTGGAGTGCAACCGGTTATATTGTGAGACTGTAACTCTCTGAAGACTTAGTAAAATAGAAAAGCCATACTGTAATACTTAATTTGTAAAATGTTGATTGATTGTCTCAGAATTCATTGTTCCTGTATTTTCATACCAATTGCTTTCTATCATCATTCCTCCTTTTTTGATCATTTCAATCTTCTGCTGCCAGACATTACATTTCTGACTCACGTAATATACTATATATGTCAATATAAGAACCATACAACAAAGAAGTACTAAGTAATAAGCTTCATTCTATGGAATTCCATAGAGATATTATGAATGAGATGTTTCTTTAAAAGTTTAATATCACAAACTAATTGAATTTACAATGAGTGGATAAGGTGATATCCATGTTGATCATTGACAATTGTCTTTTATATTCCTGTTACTCTTAAAGTTATAGTCATAATCAATGATAATAAATTCTATAGTTGAAATCATGAGTCAATTGAAGCTGGACCATCATGGAAAACCTGAAAACACCGAAAGGCCGTTTCGTCCTATTGTGAGGCTCTTCAGCAGTGAGCATCTACAATTCCGAGATTCGAACCCGGGAAATATCACTCTCGTGAGCGAGCGCCTAACCTCAAGACCACTAAGTTGGCAGGCATCCAGCGGTGTTAATACGTAACTTCAACTAATCCACGAAGTTGCGCCACCGTACACCATTGTCTTCAGTGAGTTGATATCTCACAAAAGACGTGGTTGAACTCCACTGGTAATGGCTTCTCACTAAAACTTCAGGAAATACCTCTTGAAGTCAGTCAAGAGAAAGCAGAGCCAGCTCAGTGGTCTAATGGTTAACGCTCGCACGAGACCGATAGGTCTTGGATTCAAATCTCGCGGAGGGCGGGATCGTAGATGCTCAGTTCTGAGTAGTTCCATACTAGGAAAAAACGGCCCTCCAGTGCTTCCAGGTTTTGTCAATCGACTCATGATTTCAACTATTGAAATTTCTAAAAATCTAAACAAACCCTATTCAGATAATAATAACTTCTGTCAATTTTCTACTACTTATATTATCTTCATCAGTAGTAAGGATATTGACAAGAAACAGTAATAGATCATTTATAACTTACGTGTATTCATAATTTGCATGAATAGGTACATTAGTCTTTTTAAAAAAACATCCAAGTTGAGTTGGTCGATTCTCTATGAACACCATTGAATGTTCTATAGATGAAGTAAACATTGTTTTTGCATTGGAGTAGGTTTCTATATACACTTTATCAATATCTGAAATAAAAAAGAAATTCCAACATGAATAGAATTAAACAAATTAGGAACAACGTAGGAACATGACGCAACTACCATAGAACTGATACATTAAATACATTTAGAGATTAAAAAGCTATTTTATAGAAGCATTATGGATTGTAACTCCGCCTGGAGCCCTTCTGGTGCTACTGCCGGTCCCAAGCCTGGATAATGGAGGAGGGTTGGGCATGAGGCTAGCGACTCCATCCCGTAGAATACTAACTTGTTAAAAAAACCCTAACCAGAAAAGAGTTCAAACCACTTAAACTCTGTCCTGGATGTTAGAAATGGCCGTCCACTGCTTTCAGGTTTTTCATGGTGGTCTAGCTTCAATTGAATCATGATCTCAACTATTAAAATTACTATTATATTCACAAAAACCCTTCTGATATTAATTAACATATGCTCACTATTGACTGGCTTCCTGAGGTATTTCCTGGAGTTGTAATGGGTAACAGTGATCAGTCGAGTTCAAATGGTTATGTTGTGAGATAGTAACTCACTGAAGACTTAGTAAAATAGAAAAACCATACTGTAATACTAAATGTGTAAAATATTCATTAATTGTCCCAGAATTCGTTTTTTCTGCATAATGAATTATACAGTTGAAATCATGAGTCAATTGAAGTTAAACCACCGTGGAAAACCTGGAATCACTCAACGGCCGTTTCGTCCTGTTGTGTGGCTCCTCAGCAGTGAGCATCCGCGATCCCAAGATTCGGACCCAGGACCTATCACTTTCGTAAGCGAGCGCTCAACCCCAAGACCACTAAACTGGCCGGAATCCAACGGTGTTAATGTCTAACTTCAAATAATCCATGAAGTGGCGACACCGTACACGATTGTCTTCAGTGAGTTGATATCTCACAACAGACGTTGTTGAACACCACTGGTAATGGCTTCTCACTAAAACTTCAGGAAATATCTTTTGAAGTCTGTTACTAGAGAGCAGAGCCAACCCAGTGGTCTAATGGTTAAGCACTCACGCGTGAGACTGATAAATCCTGGGTTCGAATGTCGCGGGGGGCGGGATAGTGGATGCGCACTGCTGAGTAGTCCCATACTAAGACGAACCGACCGTCCAGCGCTTCCAGGTTTGCAATATTGATCTGACTTCAATTGACTCATGATTTCAACTATTGAAATTTCTACAAATCTCCACAAAACCTTTTCTGATAATAATAACTTCTGTCAATTTTCTACTACTTATATTATCTTCATCAGTAGTAATGATATTGACAAGAAACAATAATAGATCATTTATAACTTACGTGTATTCATAATTTGCATGAATAGGTACATTAGTCTTTTTACAAAAACATCCAAGTTGAATTGGTCGATTCTCTATGAATACCATTGAATGTTCAATAGATGAATTAAACATTGTTTTTGCATTTGAATAGATTTTTATGTACACTTTATCAATATCTGAAATAAAAGGGAACTCCAACATGAATAGAATTAAACAAACTAGGAAAATCAATCGTCTTCTTTCTAATTACTGATAATAAACAAACTATTTATGAGATTCTTGTCAAATTTTCAAACGATCTTATACTTCCAAACATGTATATCTGGTTACAAAATAGTTTCTTACTTTATAAGCTTTTGCGAATCTATTTATTGAAATGTTTGTGGAATATCACTGTAATCTGTCTCCTCTTAAATTCGATTTCCCAATAGTCATATATGATTGTTTATTGTTGTCCATTACCTTCTTTATTTAATGTAAGTACAGTGTATTCTCTATCAAATCAACCTTTATTTCGTTATTCTATTTTACAGCTCTCTACATTAACACTATTGTATATGCTCCCATAGAACATGAAGTATCTTCTAACTAGAACTTACACGACGACAATCGATCAAATACTTTTCTACATCTTCATTATATGTAGGAACATGAAGCAACTACCATAAAATTGATACATTACATTTAGAGATGAAAAAGCTATTTCATAGAAGCATTAATGATTGTAACTCTACCTGGAGCACTTCTGGGGCTACTGCCAATCCCAAGCCCGGATAAGGGAGGAGAGTTGGGCGTGGGGTTATTCATCTCATCCTGTAGAAAATTAACTCGCTAAAAAGCGCTAACCATAAAAAATCATTAAAACCATTTAAAATGTGCCCTGGTAGTCTGAAGGTCTTCATTTAGAAGAGCTATGACTCCTCATAGTGAATGCCGAGTTCCTTCGGAAGCCACGAGGCTGATGCTCGTTCTGACAACCAGAGCAACCATTTATTTAGGTACACAGAATGCTCGTACAATGTGAGAGACCAGGAAAGTCTTCCAAATTGCTGCAGAATCAATGGTTGTAAACATTTGTAAATGCGCATGAATGACAAAAAATCATTATTTACAAATTTAAATGATTATGAAGCGAGGATTTCATCATAATCTATTCTGAGGATTCCTAACTGTCATCAAGTAAATGATATTGAAACTAGCTAGTGTCATTATTATCATTATTACTATTAAAATGAGTAATCCATCTTGAAATTTGTTTAAAAGGTATCAAAAAATGAATTTGATAATTAAGGAGAATGCATAAAGTACACTATTGTAAAGTAGTTGTCTTCGTATAATGCTGAGACTAATTTTGTTTGACAATTTATCATGCCATTGTAAAATGTCACTCTGTTATAACTTGTGGCCTGTATGCCTTGGTAATGAATAACGTGATGATACCGCCAATGAGAGAGCAGTGAATTATCGATCGGAATAATGACGCATAAAATACGTACGAGCAATCTAGAGTACTTATCGGCCCTGTTTCCTACCTAGCCCAGTCAGTTAAGTCCACAACATCAATCTCAGCCTCTGCAATATCAATCCTTTATTTCAAACATACTGAGTTTATATACCAACCAGATAGACCCCATAATACCATTAAACAACATTTGTACAAAATTTAGCCAAGTGTGGTGGTGAATAAGGGTGATAATAATTATTAGACTGGGTATAACTCAAGAATCGTAAGTCGTATAATAAAGTTCATAAATCAAAATAAAGCCGATAGTAAAAAAGACATGAATATGAATAATTTAGTTACTTAACAATTATACGAAAAAAGTATACGCATATTATTGGTCCATAAATGGATCTCAAAAGTTACCATTCATTATGCTCATCAATAAATAACAGACTTTTACCACAATTCAAATAAATAGTTCGAGATTTCATTGAAAACTTGAAAACAGAAGAAAAAGAAGAAGAAGAAGAGAAGCAGATTTTACGAATGAGGATAATAATTGTTTTTTCTGATCTTCAGTAAAAGACTAAACTTATGTAAAAACAGGATAGAGATAGGAATTGGAGGAAGTACAACGTTTTGCAATTGATTAATCGCTGCGTAGTGGCCAGTGTCATATATGTCAACTCCTGCTTATAGCGGGTAGAAGTTTATTGATCAATTAACAATGTGGCCACTAGTCTAAGAGATTAAATATTGCATGTATCATTTTGAGATGTAAAGTGATGGGTAAAGGTAGTCGATAGGAAGTCCTGGACAATTGTTTCGTTCTATTTGGCACTCGTCTATATGGTGTATCAATAATTTTGAGGGAACTGATGCTCCTTGAATAATTAACTACGTATCATCCAGTTTTGCATTTAGAGTCGTTATCTCTGAGCTACCAGGGCTGCGACCAACCTCCTGTAAATATTTAGTGGTGATGTGACCTCTTGAATTTGGTCGTATGATATATGTTTATCGATTAAGTGAGCTACATTGAGTTTGTTCGTGGAACGTATTAAATGCGCAAGGTTCTTCATCAACGTGGTTTGAATTGTTAGGTTCGTCTTCGGGTTCGTAACTTTAGTGTGGTCCTTTATTTTGACACAAATTAGATTGCACGATGATGCTTTTGACAGGCTCACCACTTTAAGGGACCTCATACCTTATTTCAATTGGATCGTGCGCTGGTTGTTTTTGAAATATACATCCCTGCTACCCTCGTATATAAATATAGATTTAAATCGCGTTGATGAATGACGGGATTAAATAAGTCAAACACGAGAAAATTCCGATTGAGTATATTTTGTAAAAACATTGTTCTGAACAGACAATCAGGGAAACGAAGCAAGCAGGAAAGAGTGAAGTGAAATGAAGTGACGCGCAGTGGAGAAGGCAAGTGAGCCAACTAGATTTAAATAAGCATGACTCGATATTTACGGCCAAACAAAAATAACATACGGACACATGATGAACAAGGTAAGTAAATAACATGCATATGATCATGTAGAAAAACAATCAGGTTTGTTAAGAAAATAAGTGACAGGGTTGAAATGTGTCTTGTGAAGAATGAACAAAGTAGTCAGTCCAGAGACTAGAATGACCTATGTGGGATCGACATAGTACCAGCTACTTCAAATATACATCAATCCTACAGGAGGTCAGTTACGACTCTGGTACCTCAATGATAGTTTTCCTTAGTGCGAAGCTGGATGATACGATCGAATCTGTCAAGGAACCTCAGTTCCCACAAGATTATTGATACACTTTATGAACGTGTGCCAAATAGAACGAAACAATTGTCCAGGATTTCCTATCTACTAGCTTCAGCCACCACCTTAAAACTTTGTTAGCTAAACATGCTGGTTGTGGCATTTCACTCTCATGATACCTTTAAACCGTGTTCACACGGGAAGTTTTAATTAATGAACGATGGACAGTGTTGGTCAGTTAAAGTTATTTGAATCAAACCATTGATTAATGTTAACAATCTCTACAAAAAATATGTGCACAGGAGATCATTTTTAACTTGTTTACTTACAAATTTATATTTTGGTCATCATATCTTTCCCTCTTATATCAAGCCATACAATACTGTGAGCGTTTGAACAGTGTTGAACAATCGTGTCTCAACCAGAAACTTCGTCGCACAAACAATTATAATGAAGTATCAATAACGGTGAATAAGGAAGTAGTCTTTCTGTTTTATCGTTTATCGATGAATAAATATTTTTACTCTGTTTTATTAACTACTCGTATGGATAAGATTTATAAATCATTCACCAACATGCGGAATTAATGTCTCATAATAATGTTTATTTTTCACCTATCATATCAGTTAGAAATCAAGTTTTCATAACCAATCTATTTTTAACTACTGAAATAAAAAAAGTAGTTTAAAGTCAACTAATTGAAATGTTAAGCTTAATGTTGATGAAATTGCCAGGAATTCAATGAGTATTCATTGTGTTTCTGGTTTATATTGGTTTGTCAAATGGGATTGATTACTTCAGAAAACATTTTAGAACTGGCCATTCTAATGAAGTCAATAATGATTAGAAAACTTGGGGATTCAGTGTTGGTAATTGAAATCTATGCACAATTGAATAGAAAACGTTTCCTGAAACTGAAAGTTATTCTTACTCTTAAAGTTTACTTTACCAGATGTCAGTAACCCAAACATGATGAATTTTACTTGAACATTACTAAACATACGTTTACAGCATTATTACTATTATCTGGATATGTTTTAATAATGTGATGATATAACCATATTGTCTATACTCTACTCGTACTACCACTGAATACAATATCTTTTGAACGAGTTACAAATCGACTGGTCACCGAAATATTGCGTTATCTCTCATTCGGTGTTTAAATAAATTAAGATCTGGTTTGTATCTTGGTTGAACAGGACTTCTTTCAGTCAGAGATTTTTTGAATGATGAGAAAACTCTTGGTAGTTATAATTATCAGTCCATAAGTAATGAAAACAAATTAAAAATCTTGTTATGACAATAATTGACTTAACTACTCTAAGTTTTTTCAACATCTTTTGGGAATTGTTACTACTTTTTGCTTATAGATTACATATATCTCTGATATATGTATAGTGGTATTATGCTAAATAAATTGTTTAATAATAAGTAATGACTACAGTGTAATACCACAATTATCCCCGATATTAAGAATCTTGGGTCTAGTTGTATCTGTCCATGGTTATTGGAAACTAGATCTCTTAGTTGAAGCTAATGATCCATTTAATAATGATCTATACTTTAGCGAAAAATGAATGTAACAATATGTCAAAATAGTAACTATATAACAAACTTTCTACTCGACTGCTCGTCATACCTACTATATACGAACCAATAAAAGTGTGAACCTAACTAAGTAATACAAATCATTCCAAGTGGACTTGGATAATTTTAGACATTCGAAGTGTGATTTACAGCAAAATATTCACTCCAATATTTGACATTTACCCAATAAAAGAAACGGGACAATGGTGACAAATCACTAACTCTGTAAGTCTTCAGCGTTTCATGCTGACCACATTAGTTTTAATGGACTTATCTACCCCACGTCTCTCAGTCACGTATCCGCACTAGATCACAACTGATAAAGCTGTGCTCAACTTTTCCTATAATCGGTAGTCAGTTTAGATCAATCACATCTTGATTTATTAATAACTTATCAAAATATATCTTCAAAT